GCAACCATCTAAATATTGATCAGTACATGCACCCAATATGGAGTTATCAACCAGGTCAACAGCTTCCAGCTCCTATTGCCAGCTCTACTCAAGCATCAACTCTTTGGATTGCTAGTTCCACTATATTCACATTCCTGATGGGGGATACAGGAGTTATAGCCTGTTTGGCCAAGCTTTTAAAATCAGCTTATTTTGAGAAATGCTTTTCTCAAGAGTACTTTTTAAAAAAGTGCTTTTCGTCTGTGTTTGGCTAATTAATTTGAAAAGCACTTTTGAGCAATAGTGTTTGGCCAAGCTTTTGAAAACTACTTCTAAGTATATTTTTTTCAAAAGTGCTTCTCAGAAAAGTGCTTTTGAAGAGAAGCTACTTTTTTTTTTCTTCTCAAAAACTGCTTCTGCTTCTCCTCAAAAGCACTTTTTTTTTTCTAAAAGCTTGGCCAAACAGGCTATTAGGCAGGAAATGAAGGCCCTAGACATGTGGTGACCATGAAGAAAGACAAGATTCTAACTTGGCCTCTTCTGCCTCTTCTCTCCATCTCTCTTTCCCTATCCCTTTGCTGCCTTTTGTTTTCCTTAAAATTTATGTGATGTCTAGGAGACGATGGAGGCTTTCTTGTTTTCTAAAAGATCCTTTTACAAACTTCTTACCTTTCCCATCCCTCCTGTTCCTCATGATACACGTAACTAAAGGGGCCAGGAGCATGTGACAGTGGCGTTGGTTGCTAGTGCTGTCTACTGGCGTGTAAGATGTAGACATGGAGTTTCCAGGGTCATTGATATTGAGAGGAAGTTTTCGAGCTGATTGGACTGGATAATAGCACAGTTCTCTGTTCGAATTTGGTTCACCCATTCTTGTGTTATTTCTTCTTTTTCTCCCGTCAAGCTTGTGAATTTTCTCATTGCTCCTTATAAAGAGTTGAAAGTTTTCCTTATCAAAAATAAATAAATACATAAATAAATAAAGAGTTGAATAAAGTTCTCTTTGCCTCCTATAGGGCTGCGTGCATGAAATGTACAGCTACTTCTTACTTAACTACAGAGTAGTATATCTTTCTGCAACTTATTTTGTCAAATCAGCTGGTATGAAGCATAAATGCCTGAAAGTAATGCACCCAAAGCTTGACAGGTGATGGATAGTAAGATGTTGTGTTTTTCCCTCTCAGAAGGCCAATAACATTGGCTTGAGAAATAAGGTTCTTCATTTCTTTATGGCTGGATCTCTATCTTTATCTGTCTCAAACATGAACATGCACACATTTGCACAGCTCATACGCAGATGACCTATGTTGCTTTGACTCTCCGAATATGTTGCCGGATACATGTCGGATCCTCCAAAAGTAGTGTATTTTTGGAGGATCCGACACGGGTATGGCATCATTTTGGAGAGTCCGCGCTACATAGCAGATGACACAACTTAGGTAGCACTGGATTCGTTGTAATTGAATCCAAAGAGTAAGGTCTTCCTCATTATATAGAATTCCCTTAAAAAGAAGTTTGTGGGAGAGCAACTTCTTGGAAGTTGAAGGTGGCAGATGAATCTGTTCACTGAATTCTGCCAGTATTTCGGTTTGTCTTTTGTTTAAATTTCAGAGAGAGAAACCAAGAAACAAAAGTACAGATACATATAAGGTGTTCTTTATAAGTTGTCTTTCTTCTCTCTCCGATCCTGAACTCCTGCTTCTCCCAGATTCTTGTTATGCTGTGATTGCTCCTTTTAACATGTGCAGCGATTGTAATTGACGTGTGTTTGATCTCATTTTAAACTATTTCAGGGAATACGAGAATTAAGTCTAAGGCAAACGAAGAGCGAACAAACAACTGCAACAGGGAGAAAGTTATGACTTGGAGAAATCAAGAACCCCCATTTGCGTGATTGCCGCTTTTTCACACACGATAAATGGTGATTTATGCCATCTGCTGTCTGGTATTGACGAAAGGGAGCATTTGGGAGAAGATTACACTGACATGCATTGCATTTTTGCTGTAAGGACAAAACGATGTATCTATTTAGGTTTTGATACTTGTAATTTTTTTTCTCCTTTATTTTCCTGTCTTCCTAATGAAAGCACATATTGGTGAAAAACTCAAACAGTATCATGATTGGATTAATTCATGCAAAAAGAAAAATCTGGAGTTGTTGCTACAGTTTTCCACTGGAAGACATTTTCCGTAGATTGATTTTTCGCTTGTTTTTTACTGATGATGTGAAATCGCAACAGGAATTTCATTTTGGTTTGTTGTGGTTAAACATATAATTTTTGCCTTAGGGTATTTATGGGTAGACGTGAACCAGTTCGGTTTCATGCCGGGCCGCTCCACTACAGAAGCTATCCACCTTGTCAGGAGATTGGTGGAACACTTCAGGGATAAGAAGAAGGACCTGCACATGGTGTTTATCGACTTGGAGAAGGCGTACGACAAGGTCCCAAGGGAGGTGCTATGGAGGTGTCTGGAGGCGAAGAGCGTGCCGGAAGCCTACATCAGAGTGATCAAGGACATGTACGATGGAGCTAAGACTAGGGTTAGGACGGTGGGTGGCGACTCAGAAATGGGGCTTCATCAAGGATCTGCACTTAGCCCTCTCTTATTTGCTTTGGTGATGGATGCTATAACACGCCATATTCAAGGGGATGTGCTATGGTGTATGCTATTTGCTGATGACATAGTCCTGATAGACGAGACGAGGGTCGGTGTTAACGAGAGGTTGGAGGTCTGGAGACAGACTCTCGAGTCCAAGGGTTTCAAACTAAGCAGGGCTAAGACAGAGTACCTGGAGTGCAAGTTTAGCGCCGAGCCGAGCGAAGTAGGCAGGGACGCCAAGCTTGGATCTCAGGTCATCGCCAAGAGGGACAGTTTCAGATATCTTGGGTCGGTGATTCAGGGGGACGGAGAGATCGACGGGGATGTCACTCACCGTATAGGGGCAGGGTGGTCGAAATGGAGGCTTGCATCAGGAGTCTTGTGTGACAAGAAAGTGCCACAGAAACTCAAGGGGAAGTTTTATAGAGCTGTGGTTAGACCTGCCATGTTGTATGGGGATGAGTGCTGGCCGGTGAAGAACTCCCATGTCCAGAGAATGAAGGTTGCGGAGATGAGGATGCTCAGGTGGATGTGCGGGCTCACCAGGTTAGATAAGATTAGGAATGAAGTTATTCGGGAGAAGGTGGGGGTGGCCCCAGTAGATGAGAAGATGCGGGAAGCGAGGCTCAGGTGGTACGGGCATGTGCGGAGGAGAAGCCCCGATGCCCCGGTGAGGAGTTGTGAGCGGCTGGCGGTGGTTGGCGCGAGTCGAGGCAGAGGGAGGCCCAAGAGGTATTGGGGAGAGGTGATTAGGCAGGACATGGCTAGAATGCGGATTTCCGAGGACATGGCCCTTGATAGGAAAGTCTGGAGGTCTAGTATCAGGGTTGTAGGATAGGGGCTTCTAGAAATTTTCGTACTTCTGTCCCGGGGCTGGTGGGTGGGGGGGGGTTTGTAGGGCTCTCCATAGATGATCTGTGTATTGTATTGTGCCCCCTTATGGTAGTTACTGGTCGATATATTTGCATGCCATTTTATTTATGGTTTATGTTTAGATAATTATTTATGTAATTTCTGCTGGAGTTACTAATGCTCTTTTGTTTTTTTTTTTTGTTTTTGTTTTCCTTTTCCTTTTCCTGAGCCGAGGGTCGATTGGAAACAGCCTCTCTGCCCTTTCGGGTAGGGGTAAAGCCTGTGTACGTATTACCCTCCCCAGACCCCACCTTGTGCGACTATACTGGGTAGTTGTTGTTGTTGTTGTTGTTGTTGTTGTTGGTATTTATGGGTAGACACCAATCAGGCCATGACCACCGGTCTGTGCATTGTCTAGCAGTATTAGTAGTTCAACTCCTCTTATAAAGGATGGCGCTGTGTTATATACTATACTGTTTTAGAAAGTAGTAGTGTTTGAAATTAGGCAGGTTGTAATTAATGTATATCTGCTCGTTCAACTGTAGAAATCGTTGATGTCCTTGGGTATGATTTAACAAACTCTTTTTACCTATCAAAAATTGAGAATAACAATAAATCAAGTGGAAAGTCTGACTTATCACAAATTGATATATTTGAAGAGCTTTTAAAGATAATGAGCAAGTATCATTATAATCGGAGTCCCAAATTTCATTCATATCAAATATAATCCCTGTAATCAATCTTTAGTTTGTCCATTTTCTCTTCCATTTCTTTTTTCTCCTCCTACTTTCCCTTCATCTTCCTCTCCCTAGTTTCCAGTGTAGGATAAACGTTAACCTTTAATACTCTTTTTGAGATGGATAGGCACGACCAGGGGCGAATGTAGTATATTACCAACGGGTTCAATTGAACCCATAACTTTCGACGCGGAGTAAAAATTTATATGTAAAAATTCATTAAAAATGCAAAAATAGTATATATGTGAAACCATAACTTTAAAAATATAATGAGTTCAATGCTAAAAACTTTAAAAGTTGAACCCATAGAGTTTAAATCCTAAATTCTGGATCCGCCTCTAGGGACGACTATATATGTTGTCACTGACATCTGCAGATTGAAGCATTTGCATTTGAAGCTGCATACTGTGTGTTTGATTAGATGTTTGTTCTGACCACAACTTATTGACATATTTTGGGGTTAGGATTGAAGAAAGAGATGTCTTTATATGGAATAATATCATGAAGCCTGATTTTTTTTTTTTGTTTTTTTGTTTTTTGAATAGTAAGTGTGACCTTCAACTGCCTGGGTGGGATATTGACCATAGATTCATAGACAGAAGCGAATTAAAATGAGTGCGATCTTATGATATATACACTTAAAATACCTTTTATATATGTAAACATAGTTCGAGTAGAAAGTAATGTATTCAATTGAACCCACACAAATCGTCCTATATTTGCCTCTTATCGTAGATGAGGTAGTGTTCAACAAGTGGTAGCAGATACTTTCAGTTTTAATTTTCTGTATGTAAGAAACTTAAGGTGACTACATGTAGAGGAAAACAGTTTTCATATGGTTGAGGAATTTGATAGAGTTAGTAAGTGCGGAAGCTTGATATCATTGAACATTCTACGCAGGTAGTCCTCTAATTATAAATAAAAAACTAGACAAATTTCTCTATTGAACTATCTTGACAGGAGAAAAACCTTTCTGTTTCTTTATATACTGCAAAATTGTCTTAATTGCTTCATAAATATAATTTTCAACCCTCTTCTCTAGACCCGAGAACGTTCTTTGCTGAAGTCAGAAGGTGGCATGAAGAAATCAGCTGTCAAACGTCCAACATTAAAATCTACCTCTTCAATTTTCCATCTTTCCTCAAGCTGCCTCTTGTGATTTGCAGAGTGCTCTCCATATCTGAAAACTGTGACAAAAGTTCTACCACTGTGTGCAACATTAACTCCGTCAACGTATTTATAATCTTCCATAACAGATTCTGTGCTCGTCTCCCAGAATACACCTTCGTCGTCTCTGCTGGTCTTAACTGTTAGCAACCTGGAATCCTCAAACTTGACCATTAGGCCTGATCTTTGGCTAAAGTATCCCCATATTGTATGATGAAGTATTTCATAATTTGGACCACTTTGTGCCTCTAAAGCTGATTGGTTTGTATCAAGTTTGAGAATGAAACAATCCTCATCATTTATTATCTTCTCTCCTATGCATACTGCATTCGCGAACAAGTTTGCTATAGACCGAGGATCTAGTCCCTACAAGCAATGACATACCATTTAGACCTTAGCTCTACCTCTATGAGGCAATATAATTAATTAACATATTTAAGTTATACTAGTATCTATTAACGTGATACATGATGGTTTAAATATTTATTTATATGAAGGAACAATAAAATATAATTAATGAGAGATATTTTATATATAATACTACAAATATTATCTAAATAACAAAAAATATTATTATATTAGCATAATATGTGAATTCAAAATGAAATGATATCATCAGAACTTACATAACTGATCAATTTTAGTCATGTTAAGTAGATAATTATGTATTGTAGTTTAAAGGTATCTAATGTGATGGTGTCTTTCCGAACACTTCTTTATAAACGGTATTTTTTTTATATGTTTCCTTCTAATGCTTTGGTTACTCTACCATAACCAGAACTCTTGTTGTCGATATTGATATCTCTTTTGAAAGTGCAACATATAGTTATTCGTGTGAGAAAATATATTGTGGTAAATATAGTTCAATATTTAGGATGTTTGTCCTTGTGCTTTATTTATTATAACTACAAAACATAAACATATTGAAAATTATTTTCACTCAAATTAAAAGGATATTCTTTAGTTTCGATAAACGAAAGTTGAATTCGGAGATAAACACATACTTAGAAGCACATTAACCAATAACATAAGTTCTGCATGTACAACGTTATTGTCAAAAATTTTATATACTATGAGCCCGTTTGGATTGGCTTAAAAAAAGTAGCTTTTAAGTAAAGTGCTTAAAAGCACTTTTTAAGTGCTGGAGCTGGTTTTATAAATAACCAGTTACGTGTTTGGATAAAAGTGCTGGAGCTGAAAAAAAGCTATTGAAGTGTTTAGTAAACAAGTGTTAGTAAGCATTTTTAAAATTACTGAAATATCCTTAATGCTGTTAAACCTATAAAGAAGCTTATTACTATAATATTTTATTTTAAATAATATAAATACATAATAATTAATATTTTAATTCACTTTTAATTTAAAAAACTAAAAATAGTATGAAGAAAGCAAACGAAAACTAACCCAATTTCGGTATGAAGAAATCAAACGAACACAATAATTAATATTTCAAAGAAAATTAGTAAAAAACAAAAAATAGAAAGCAAACAAACGTTACCATCTGGAGAAATATGGAAAGAAAAAGAGTAAAATGAAGAAAGTAGATGCTGCAATTTCGGGAGGAAGAAGACAACAACAATTTCAAGTTTTGTACTGAGGGCTAATTTTGAGATTAAGAAAAATTATAAGGGATAAGAATGTAATATCTTTGGTCAAAGCAATATGGCTTTTAAGCCAATTTTAAAAAAATTGAGTTTACCCAACTTGTTGGTTTTGACTTTTTTTAAGCAGATTTTAGCTTCTTTTATGCTATTTTTCTAGTTGCCAAACACTTCAAAAGTTAAAAAGAGCTTAAAAGCTGGTTTGACCAGCTTTTAAGCCCATCCAAACAGGCTCTATATGTGTACTATTACATAAGCTATTCAGCGGATCTAAGTTTTTAGTAGCATGCCGGGCATAATTTCTTTTAAAAATTAACCTATATGCAATGGAAGATCAATTTTAACTTAGTCTATTATATATGTGGTGACACTAACATACGTAAGAAATAATGAACTTGACAACAAACATGTACAGTAGAAGGCCATTTGGTATTAAAGTATTTAAGTATTCTTGCTGGAAGTAAATGTTGGTATCATCTTTTGCTGAGTCAAAACTGAAAAATATTTTGTTTTTACCATAAAATTTAGCAATCAACCTTTTATTTAGTTGATCAACATATTCATTTCTGCTAGCTAAGATAACTCTTTAATTTCTATCATGTAATTTGTACAAATTGCGCTTTAATTAATGACGAAAATAGTTTCCTTATTAAATGCACTACTATTACCATTGGGGTTGATAACCAAGTATTCTAGAAGAACCAAATCATCTTTTATTGGATGCTCTTCTTCGTTTCAGACACGAAGCAAAAAGTCACTGAATGTTGGATCTGTTCTTAATTTTATATTTCTTGTCATTTGAATATTTTTCTTTTGAGATCATAAGTATAATTTAGCAACCTAGATTTTACAGTTTCTGTTTTGGTCAATTTTAAAAATATTGATCGTACTTGACAGAAGTCACCTCTCAAACTATTATTTTTCTACCAAACGGTTCATCGATATCCAATATATCTATAAAACTCTGGGCGATTGTTTCGATCGTTTGGCGCTTAGTCAAAAGCGCTTCATCCCATATTATCAATTTTGTTTTTCTTATAAATTTTGTACTATTCCTCTGCTTTGATATTTTTATGATGGTTATTTCAGATATTTGAAGAGGTATATCAAATCTAAAGTGAGTTGTACGACCTCATAATAAAGTCGTTGCTGGTATACCACTTGTTCTTATCGCTAACAATATCATCTTGATCTGATATTTGCAAGTAATGCATAATATAGAAATATTATTTTGATTCCGCCGGAGAGACCTCATAATAAAGTCGTTGCTGGTATACCACTTGTTCTTATCACTAACAATATCATCTTGATCTGACATTTGCAAGTAATGCATAATATACAAATATTATTTTGATTCCGCCGGAGACATCTACAAAGGATAATCCCGCTATACCATAGTCAGCTTTTTATAATATAATTTTGAAAGCTTATTCTTATTCAGAATGTAGCTTTGATTGTGCTTCCTCAAACACTTGTATGAACTTCTTAATATGATATTAATCTTTTTTACTTTGTAATCTATTTCTTTTAATCTCTAACACTCTTTTTGTGGAATAAATTTATGTATCCTAAGATATTTTTTTNTTCTCTTGCTAAATAATTAATTAAAAGATTTAATTATTTGGTTTTAACATAAAATATAATTTATTTTCTGTTGATTTAGAGTCTTAATATTAGTTCATCTCATGTTTGAATATTTTTTTGTAATTATAATTTTATCCACCATAATTTTTTTTCAAAGAGTAAAAGATCGTTATGACATTACACTTTTAGATCTTTATGTTTGCAAATTCCGGTTATGTCCTTTTATTGTGAGTTATTATGCTTAATGTTAAAAGGTTATTTATAATCCAATATTTTATTCATGCTTTTATAATAATATAGATAGATATAGATAGATATAGATATAAATATAGATAGATATAGATATTTCATTTTTAATAATAATTTAAATTTTAACCAATTTTCTATTGAGTTTTTCTCAAAACTTTTTCACGCCTGCAACTTGCTTTTCAACTTCCAAAACCTACCAGATAAGACCCGTTGATTTGAAACCAACTATATCTTGAGATTTATATGAATAACGCATCATAGAGATTAATCATGCGATGACAATAAAAGTAAAAGATAAACTAAGAAAGAAAAAAGTATAAGAAAATTCAGGGACTTTACGCAAAATATATTTTATCAAGCAAAAAAGGAAAAAGAAACACAATAGAGAATAAGTAAGGAAAAAGTTGGTGCCACGCTGAAAGTTGAATTTGAATAATCCTTATTATGATTTGGTACTTATTTGATTCTTTTGTGTTTATTGAATTGTTTGTGAAAAAAATGTGACCTTGGCCAAGGGCGAGAATAAACTTCCCAAACTTGAAAAAATCAGTACGAACGTATATGTTTGTGAAACCTAATTATTACGATAATTACCGTGATTGCAAATGCTTATTTGCCGGATAATATCTGGAAAACATAAGTAAGGTAGTATTTGATTATATATCTAATGCCCGAAAATATTATACTATTAGAATTCCTAACGTGCAGTATTATGTCCTAAAACTAATATGATTACAAGGCTAATGTCTAGAATTCCAGTTATGTCCTTTTTATTATAAGTTATTATGCTTAATATTAAAAGGTTATTTTTGTAATCCAACATTTTATTCATGCTTTTATAATAATATAGATAGATAGATAGATATAGATATACTGACAGTGTAATTACCTGCAGAAAGCGGCGGAGAGGTCTGGGCGGACCCTTAGAGATAGGCCTTTGTTGATTAGATGATTGTCTCCATGAGATTTTACCATTACTACCAGAAATTACTTTGCATCCAGAGATAAGTAATTCTAAACACCAAAGGTCAGGATTCTTTTGCCAAAGCACAAAGCCTCCGTTTTCGTCGCTCTTTCTTACCTTCACACTTTGATCACCTTGATGGAAATCAGATGCAGTAATTTTAATATGCCCAATTACACACATGCTGTTCACTGCATTTAGTGCTGGTTGTCCCCCTGTTGCTGCTATGTATTGTTGCAATATGTATTTAGCTGTTGAAGCTTCCTGCATATATGTCGATTCCAAATAAGATTTTAAAGAAGAAACCAAGAATAATTCAGATTACTAATAATTTTTATTGTGTGTCCAAGTATAACTCAGACTACCTATTGATCTGGTTGAATGGTAAATGTGGTCCTTTTTTGTCACCCTGGATTTGGAAATTGGCTGTCATGCATGTTTTCTAGGTCAAAATTTATCTTAAAACTGACAATCTCTGTTTCAGGTTGAACGAAAGATCCATGATTTAGAATTTATAGGTTCAACCATCATGATTTTTAGAACATGTTGTACTTCTGAAATCATGATTTCAGAATTTAATATTTGTTGAAATCTTAATGGTCTATACGTATATATCTATGTTTCGTGCCAGAAAATACCGGCAATTGAACCCATTGAACATAGGGGTAGTATGCCGGTTACGGGTTAGGCCGAACCTAGTAACTTTGGTCCAAACTGTGTATTTGTCTAAAAAATTCACTAATTCTTTTTTATTACAAATTATTGATCTAGAACCTAGTAACTTAAGATTAGTCTGAAACCATTAGCTTCAAATCCTGGCTCTCTGAACTAGGATCCATTTGCCTTGTTAAACTCAGAATGCATATGTTATCTACAACTCATATGAATCAAAATGAACAGGTAAAACTGAACAGGTAAAATTAAGCTTGGAGAATTCATGTCTTACAATGGAAGAATGCTTGACGGGACGATTAACGGATTGGCCCAATTGAATTTGGAAAGGGATAAGAGGAGATCCAACCATATAAAGGAGGAAACTAAGTTCATTATAACGAGCAGCAACAATAGGGGAAGACCATTTATCAGATGTTTGAGCTTTCATCCAGGTTGCCATATTTTGCCATCTAAGTGCAGCATTACTACCCATGCTTTTGAACATTTCATCTGGAATTGGCACCTCAAGTACTGTCTCCAGTCCATCTTCTTTGTCAACATTGGGACAAAGTGTCCTCATGTAATTTTTATTTTAAAAATTTAACTCAGAGGTATATTACCTTATGTCAAAATGAAATTAAAACTTAGTATGTGTGTGTGTGTTTTGAATGTCAGGACTCAGAGAAAGTGAATTTCGAATACTGAATGCATAAAAGAAAAAGAAGAAAGAAACAAAGAGAAAATGTGTTTTGTATGTAAGAGAAACATAAGGTTAGAGAAAGGCTCAGAGATAATTAAGGATTGTTATAATGAAAAACCAATATTCTAATTCTCTGTTTTTCTTGTTTGAAAAAAAAAAAAAAAAGTATTTGAGGTGGGTAATTTTTTGCGGAGAGATTTCGAAAAATGAAGGGTATTTTGAATACTCTATGCCTAAAGGTTCTCCCTTTCTTTTAGCAGTCGTGCGGATACAATTTTATCTAATATTTCTATAATCCTCATTATTATCAACTAAAGTTCATATTTTTGCTAGCATGTTAACCAGGGTTGAAAAAAATTTATTGGCATGAATAGGGGCGGACTTAGAATTTTATAAAATTGTTTTTGACGATAAACTCAAACTTAGCACAAATATGTAATTTTAGTAAATTTTTTAAATGCATATATAGTTCGAGTCGAATATATGATGCAAATAGATCTATTGCACATATTGTAAATCGTCTCTAGACCTGAGGAGATCTTATTATCGATTGTCACCTGTTTTGGGACCACCTTGTCACATATCAAACAATAAAATTGCGAGAACTGAATTTCAAATATGTTGGCCATTCGAAGTTTTATGTCCCCTTGAATGATCACAAAATTATTGGAAGTTATTTGTTTGCTATGTTATCATCTCGTAGCGAAAAAGTCCTATTATAATTATAAGTATGATGTTGAATGACTACAAAATCACTTATTGTGGACCGAAGAGAGAAGTATATTGTAATTCCAGCAAAAAGATAAAAGGATTGCATCACCCATTATATATATATTCGTAAGTGGATCAGCACACATTACTTTGGTTATCTTACAAAACATTATATAGATTACATTGTGATTTCACATACACTCCACATCACTTATTTTACCAAACTAGAAAGTAAAGACAACTTCTTGATGAAATCAGACAGAGTAAGTTTGCCTTTAATTATTTAGATAACAATGTACCCCCTTTATCAGGTAGAAGCAAACTCCATTTTTTTCACCACGTACAATAACTTAACAAGCAACTTCAAGAGATGGATAATCAGTATAACCCACAATTGGATCAGTCATATAAAATGTGCTCCTATCATGCTCGTTCAGTGGTGCATTAAACTCAAAACGCTTAGGTAAATCTGGGTTCGCCAAAAACAAACGTCCAAATGAGATCAAATCTGCATAGTTTTCAGCAATTGCTTCATCACCGTCAGTTTTGTTGTAGCCACCAGAAGAAATAAGAGTCCCCTCAAAAGCCATTCTTATTGATTTGAGGCAACGCGGCTCTTCCCTTGGCTCAACCGCGTGAAGATATAGAAGTCCGAGCTTAGTGAGTTCATTAGCTAAATAGGTCGCCAAAGGTTCAGGGTTCGAGTCCTTTTTCCCATGCACTTGGGAGAAGAGAGAGAGTTTTATGCCAACTTTATCAGCTCCAATTTCCTTCACAACAGCTTCTATAACTTCAAGAGCAAGACGACAACGGTTCTCTATGCTTCCACCATATTCATCAGTCCTGTCGTTGAGTTGGTCATTCAAGAATTGGTCGATTATGAAGCCGTTTGAAGAGTTGATCTCGACTCCATCAAATCCTAAGCAATACCAACAAGTGACTATTCATCAATTTTATGAGTTTTCACCACCATTAATCCCTCATAAATAACAACACTGAAAAAGTAATTAATGTATAACTCAGTACCAGCTTTAATAGCATTGCGGGCTGCAATCCTAAAATCTTCGATAATGTGAGGGATTTCATTAGCTCTCAGTTGCTGAGGTGTCGGCATGATATACTCTTTGTTGTCAGGTACTATGCAATTATATATATATATATTCATTAATTTGAATTGTTTTTTGATATTATAAAATCAATCGAAAATTCAAGAAATTTACCAACCTGCACGCCAAAATAATATAAAATTGTCGAGGGCTGAGTGAGGAATGCGGCCAGGATGCCAGATTTGACAAAAGAAGATACCACCTTTTTCATGAACTGAGTCAACTATGGGTTTCCAACCCTCTGTTTGTTCCTCTGTCCAAATTCCAGGCATATCCTTCAAATAGTTCATGTCTAAATCAGACTAATACATTGTAGTCTGACCAAGGAATGGAACAATTTACAAGCTTTAATTCCAGTTCTTTAACAATTTAGAGGGGCTAAAGTACATTTTACTGATTGCTCTCAAGGCACGACGGATTAATTAAATGGATTTGACCTTTAAGGTTTTTAGCATTAAACTCATTGTATCTTTAAAATTATGGGTACAGATATAATATATTCATTGAAATTTTATATACATTATATCCCCAACATCGAACCCATCACCGAAGGACTAAAATGCTCCTTCCATTCGATATATAGAAGAATTAACCCAAATAATCGTCCACCTAATTGCTTAAGCCAAAAAGTAGCCGGCGAATGTATAATTTATGTATACAAGCTAGAAAAAATAAATAGGGAATCTGCCCGGCTACAACTAAAAGTTTCTATAAATGTAGATAATTAAAGTTGATATTTTGAAGAGTTCAAATATTTCTTACTGCTCAGAGTTTTTGTAGCACTATATTGCTGCCTATAAAAAAACAAACACTAACAATATCTGTTAAAGATTTAGACATGAGCGCATAAAGGGAAAAAGACAGAGGAAAAGTGTTTACCCTAGCGAGATATCAGAGGCACTGGCTGATTCAGAAATGAGAAATCCGCCCTTTGTTGCTCTTTGAGCATAATATTCAATAGCATGTGGCTGTGGAGTATTATTGTATGATCTGTTCCTTGTCATTGGTGGCATCACTACTCTGCAACTCATAACAATATACAGCTTAATATACATGCACCGAAAAAGATAAAAATTAAGACAGAGTACCTATGAGAGAGCTCGAATCTCCCCATTTTGTAGGGGGTAAGAAGAGGAACTGGGGTGGAGTTAGCTCACATCTCTCTAAACTCTCTCAAAATTGATCTTCTTTTTCGTTTGCTGCAGAAAATTAGAATAGCAGACTGTCCATATTTATAAACAAGTCATGATGCCAATTTCTAAATTTGTATACGCTAACTTCAAGGGTCAACTACCAATATAATTATATTTTTAAGTATAGTGGCGTACCAAAAGATATAAAATTCTACAACTTGGACGAAAAACAAGGAGTAATCCGTCTTATGCGGCAGACTACATGATAAAGCATGTAAATATATATAAGTAAACTCAGATTATTAAAAAAACTTGACTTTAAGTACCTTTTATCATTTTATTACGAGATTTTTAGTTATATGTATTATTAGTGTTATGTCATTTAAAGGATATCTACAGCTGCAATAAAATTTTAACTTATCCAAAAGCTGTTTTCTTTTGGTTATTTTGCTTTCAAAATGGAAAGTGGATAATTATAACTTCCCTGTTTTGGCTATTTAAAAATGGCTTTGGTTTTACCAAAAAAAAAAAATACAAGAAAAGCATGTGATCCAAGTCCTAACTCCTAGAACAATTATCACGCAGCTCATGCAAGTGAATAATTAATACTACTTGAAAATTCAACTGGGAGGAGTGCTTATCTGGAGCTGTACATAGTCTGCATTTCATTTTCCAACACTGCTAAATATTTGGGCTTACTTTTCTTTTCTCTTCTTTAGAAGAGCATGAGTTTCCACATGCTTGCTTGTGGGTAATTTAAGTTTTGTTTGAGAGCATATACGTGGCTTTTTTATATCTACTCAACTACTACGTGTAGCGTTTATGTTATTACAGAGGTGGGTTTTATTAGATTTCTGTACATCACAATTTACAGAGCTTCAGATATCTTCGTCTTCCTCGTCTCTTCAACTTGTGCAGGTGCTTTTCTTATTACTTAATATCAATTTTATTGTTTTCTATCTCTTTCTCCTTCTTTTTTGTTTCAAATTCGTTAAAACAGAGTGAATTAATTACAGATTTTCGAGTTAGCGTTTCATAGATGAAATTGGGATTTTTTTTTTTTCCGGAGATGAATTGAAATCAAGAAAACAAATTCTGTTTGTTAAACTATAGAAATCAGTTGATTTTTGTGTCTGCAAAGTACAAGAATGGATACGCTTCTCTGTGATGAACTTCTTCAAGAAATATTCCGCCGCCTTCCTTCGCCTCCGTTTCTTTCTTCGCTTTCTCGGTTTACTGTCTCTGTTACAATCTCAGCCATCGTAGATTCCTCCTATCATTTATTGTTTTCAATCTCTTCATCTTGTCCTAATCTCAAGTACCTCTGATTTATGTGATTCTGAGTTGAATTTGGAAAGTCTTTTGTTGTCTGGAATTAAAGCAAGAGATAATGGTGTTAGTTTTTTATGGAGAAATTGCAAAAAGGTGAGAACTTTAAAGCTGAAAAGCTGTGAAAGGCAGCACAAGAGTCGCTAAAGCGAAAAATTGTCCGACTTCATTTGAAAGAAAAGAGAAAACAAAGCTTATAGCAGCAGTCACCTATCCCAACTCCTGCATCTTAAAATCTATTGCTATTCCTAGAGAAGAAATGAGGAAACAAAACTTCGTCCGTTTGGTAAGTGATGCGAAGAGTTGGTGAGTTCGTTATGGATTGGAATATTAGATCTCTTGTTGTTATTAGCCAAGAGAAAAATCTAAAGCTGCTCAACTTTCCAAAGTAAAAGAATGAATCTAAATATGCTAAAATTATACACTGATAAAAAGTTACTCCTATTATCTATTTAAGTTGAGTTTTAGAGTTTGACCAGTGCAAAACATAACTTTGATCCCTTTCTAAATGCCCACAATTGCACCGAAGTACCAATTTTCAAAGCATTCCTTTTACTCACAGCATTCCAATATGTAGTCAACACATAACTTGAACTTGTTTTTCCATTACTTTTGTTCATATTCCACTTTCTCAAATTACTATCACATGTTTCAAGAGAAGGCTCAATCAACTTCACTTTCATCTCAGACACATTATTCCCATTCCGAGTGTCAAATATGCATCTTCTTTTGGTTTAAGAAAGTCATTACTCATTTGCCTTTGTGGTATTGAAAGTCTGCCCTCTCCAGGTATAATATCAGTCTCAAACAACCTCTTTTCTATGACCAATATTGCTGATTCAACTGAACCTCCAATTTCTGTAATTTTGTTCTTGAAGCTTGGTTGGTCGTTAATTACAACAGGAAGTGCAACCGTAACAATAAAGTTCCGTTCTTTTTTAGCATTTCTTTTCTTAAATATTTGGAGGGTTTTTTATGGAGAAATTACAAAAAGATGAGAACTTTAAAGTTGAAAAGCTGTGAAAATGTTGCTGATCAAAGTTCTTTTATAACATTTCTTTTCTTGAATATTTGGAGGGTCTTCAATCAATGGAATTAAGAAATTGTAGAGCAATTGTTGATGGGGTTTGTTAAAATTGGTGGCAGTAAAGAGGGGTTGCTTCACTTCTTGAGTCAAAGCAAATGTTGTACTAATTTACAAAAGCTTGATTTAAGATTGAGGAGTTTAAGATTATAATTAAAGTGAAATTACTTAAGCATGAATGATTTTGTTTTTGTTTGAGTTATTCTCAGGAAACTTCAGAGCTAATATTAGTTTTTGTTATCTATTTCTATCTCATTATTAGAATGGAAAAGCTTTTCCTTTTGATTGTAATTCTGTGTGCTTCTAGCTATGTCATTCATCACATATATATTGAATGAATAGTTTTTGGTTTCAAAGTTATTTTGATAGGTCTATGGCAGATGCAATTCAAGCATATACAGGGCCTAAAATCAAAGTTTAATATGAGACAGATCTGTAGCACTTCAATTTTAAATTTATTGTCATTTGTACTTCTCCGGCATTACGTGCGGATTTAATATATGAATTGTACATCTTCCTTTTATTTTATACAGGAAAAACCAACAGAATTCATACTTTGGGAAGTTTTTATTGATCATGATGGGAACGAACTACTGGAATAGCATAACGAATACCCAGTCATTCTTGCTTGAAAAATTAGCAAACCGAAGTCATCCTCAGGTAAACTACATATACAATAATATTTTACCCTTTTCCAAATATCAAACAATCAAATTAGAACTGAATATGCGAATAAAGGCAGGATTGACGAATAGTTCAGTACGACAATTGAAATTAATCCTCCATACCCGCCGGCTACTACTCTAAGGACATGGTATTGTAGATGTGCTTCTTTGTGAGTAACACATCCAAAAATAATGTTTCACTTTTACAAATGCATGAACATAGACAAAACTAATACAGGATTTTAACTTACCTGTAGGGCCAAACAAAATCGAGAGCTAATGCTTATTGCATACACGGCAAGTGAAACAGCCTCAACATGCTCTCTTCTGTTTGTTCCTTTTGAGGAAAAGGTCATACCAATTGCTAATATCCAACAGCAACCTCTGGTAAGAATAATAAAAAGTTTTATGCATTCTTCTGAGTTTTCAATTTTAATTTTTGTTTTGTTGGGTAATTGATCACGTCCAACTATGCCTTATAAAAAGGATTAAACGGTCGCTGCAAATATAATCCGGTTTACAAGTCCGGAGTCGAATCCCACAGAGAACTAAGGTTTAGCTACAACTGTTCACTATCACCAAGAAGACAAGCTCGAACAATTCCTAACTTATAGATATTAAGATTCTTGTGTTTAACTAATTAACTAACAAATTAAAATAGTAAATTAACAACTAACGACAGTGAGGGTTAGAGAAAAAAGATTAAGGAGGTATAGAGTTATGATTTCCCCTATTGTCGGAATCCTTCCCGCTATGTCTTCTATAATTTCGCCTAAGTATTCTCTACCGATCATGAGCACTCTTATTACCGTAAATCTCTCCCGAGTAATTACGACAATTTACTAGACGCACTCTCCCGAGCTACGCTAGCTGGCTTTTAATACAGCTCACTTCAGATCGCACCCAAGGCTTCGTTATCCCTAATCCCACATTTAAACCCTCGGTTATTGATCCCTCATATACTCTGGGAGTGGTGTAGTTCAACAATTACCTAAATATGCACTCTCTCCCGAGTTATGCATACTAAATAGGCACAGCTAATTGAGAGCTCTTCAATCCAACAGAATATAAACGTAGTTGAACAAATAGAGAAAAGCTATGGCTCAATTATATAAAAACATAACAAGAATTTATCCTACAAAAGGTTGTATCAAAACTCTAGATAACAAATTAGCTATTCATAATAGTATGTAAAACTACAATACTAAAAGTCATAATCAACAATGAAAAATAGGAAGAGGAAGGAAAAACTCGTAGAAGAATTCTCCGCCTTGCTCCCAATGTGTTCTTGCCTCCTTAGGTCGAATCTATGTCCAAAATATGTCCCCCTCCCTTCAAAATAGGTTTAGGACCCCTTTTATACAAGTTGGAATAGCGTAGGGCCGAAATAACCTTGTCCCGGACGAAATAGGACTTCTTTTTGACGCCTGGAGCGGCGCGGTCGCGGCCAAAACGCGGTAGGACCGCAACCAGACAAGCTCTCTGATTTCTGCAGCGGTTGCGGTTTCGACCGCGTTTTTCACCCTGTTCCGTTTGGAAATTGGAAAAACGTAAAACATGAAAGTTGTAACCCTTTGAATTAGCTTTCTAACCATATATTGTGGAGCCCAAATGGAGTTCTGAGAAAAAAGTTATGTCTATTTTACTAGACAGTGTGCAATATGCCTCCTCAAGTCTTCGTTCGTACTTAATTATCAAATTTGACCCCCGAACACGATCCCGGCTTAATTCCTTGAGCTTTTACTCAGACTTCAAAGCTTCAAATCACTTAAATTCATTCCATAACATCTATATAGCTCGGAATCACACCTACAAGGCATAAAACACACAATTAGTGCAAAACACTAGCGATTAAAGCGCAAACTGAATTAAAGTGCAGTAAATTCAAGTGTAATAAGCGACTAAAATATGAAATTATAGCCTATCATCAACACCCCACACTTAAACCATTGCTCGTCCTCGAGTAATCAAACTACACTTTTTTTATAAACACGACCTTTTTAAACAATTCTCCTAACTCATCACACCAAGAGTATTTAAAATAGACTAAGCACAAAAGCGTAACATCTTCACCTCAAAATTTGACTCACAAGTACCATACGTTATTCACAACTCACCCACTTACTCTAATATAGAGGTCACTGACATTACCTTTCCTTCATGAATCAAGTGCCCTCACACCACAAAAGAGAGTAGTTCCACACAATAAAATTTAAGAACACTTAGGAACTCAAGATAGAAAGAATTCACTCACTCTCAGAAATAACATTCATATGCCACAAAAGATGCACCATAAGCTTGCCCGTAGTGTACTACTCCACTAATCGAGCTCATTCAATCTTGGATCAATTAGGACTTTATTTGGTTGTAATGTAGGCTACGGGACGGGTAGGATACATTTAGATATAAGAGTGACTACACCTCCCTAAGCACTTTAATACATATACTTTAACATTCAAACCCCATACTTATGTCAAACCAAACTCCACCTTCACATGTAAATTACCCCATTCTTCTTTAAGCACACTTACGTCAAGAACCACCACTTATCAAGGAAATATTTTTTTTTACAACAATCCAACTATATTTTTTTCAATTCAAGTGGCTCTTCCTTTTTCAAAACAGAGCATCTTTCTCCTTATTCAATTAGTTCCACTCAAAAGCCAAACCAACCACCCCACACTTTAACTTTTACAAAGTAATAACAATTCAAGTGCTCATGAGAGGTGAAAAGGTTTAAATAGATGGTTAATTCAAACAAATGGGTAAGGCTTGTAATGTGGTTGCCAAGGAAACAGGATTACAGGCTCAAAGGGGTTAACTACGATACATAACAATTAGGTGAGTAAAATATGATTATATGGCTCAATAAGAAATGCTTATATCACTTCCAAGACTGAACAAAACTACTATTTCGCTTTGCAAACACACGGGGCAAGTTCTAGGCATCAAATGCAATGCACAGAATAACACAAAACCTTACACACACATGGCACATAACTCACTCAGGATTGGATTCATCAAGACACCCTAGTCAAAGCAGTTAAGCAAAGTTAAAATCATACAATTTAAGGTACTTCTACAAGAGTCAAAAACTGAGCCTAAGCGTCACAACCAAAGTACTCACTGTTCTCAAGGCATAACCAAGTCAAGAGATATTGCTTCAATTCAAAGCACAACACAATGGTTCTTATTCCTTAAAAAAAAACTAACTACACCCGGTTCAAATAAAACTCTTGGAAAAGAACCGTGGTTTAAAGAAAAACCAAGGGGTAATTGCTACACTACCTAACATAAAACAAAAAATCTTTTTGGTATTTTCTTTAGACTTACTTCCCTCAAGAAAACTGTCTAGAAGATCCGTCATCAGGAAAAGTCCAATCTTTTAAAAAAAAATTATTTGATTAAACGAACACAGCTAAAGTAGCATGAAAAGTCACCCAGATAATCTCCTCACCCCACACTTAAAATTATGCATTGTCCCCAATGCACACCCATACATACAAGAGGGTAAAAGAAACTCCCTGGCAGGCCAAAAGCCGAAGCACTAGCAGTTCATGGGGTACTCAGACTTCTCCCAAGCTTGGTCCTTCGTGTGGGTACCTCACACTTAGTTCCAGCCATTTGGTTTGCTGATGCATCCTTCCAATACCTTTGCTTTCCATGCTCCTAGAAAATAAAAAAATTGACACTACAAAATAATACAATTAAAATAATTAAAAAAAAGCAATAAAGCTGGGTTGCCTCCCAACAAGCGCTTGATTTAACGTCACGGCACGACGTGAATCACTTTCTGCCTCCACTTTGAACTTATGAACCGGACCCCAAGTTTTGATTCTGCTCTATGATCATGCTCCTGGGGTGGTGGAACGAATCTGACTGGCCCAATAAAATAATGTAGTATTCTGCACTTCTTGGCCTTTATATGAGGTGTGTAATCCCGACTTTCTGGCAAGAAGAATTCCAGAATGCAAGCACTTTGTTCCTCATTCCTTGACTCCTCAAATGGATCGGACGACTCTATTTCCATATCATCATCTAAACACAATGTGGAAAAATGCTTGGAGTGAGGACCAATGCGCCCAACTACATGAACATTGGGACTATCTACATTCTCAACACTAATGACAATAGAGTCAACTAAATATGTATCCTCAATATCCTTGGTTGACTCTAGTATCTCTTCTACAACATCGACATCCTCAAAATCTAATGTGATTGATTGTTGGTGTTCTACTCTAGCCTCCTCCTCTAGCTCATCAGTTTCTGTATCTAATTCACGCTCTTCTTGGATACTATTCACAATATTGACTTGTTGAGCATTAAAAACTTCAACCACTTGACTCATGTGAACTTTCAAGTTGTGAATAGTTTCCTCCTGCCTTTCTATCCGCAGTAGTAATTTACTCTGTTGTTCCAAAATGCACTTTAACATATCTTCGAGCTTCTTTAGGTCAGCTTCCCTAGGTTCTTTGTTCCTATGAACTTCACCAGAAAAAGAAGAACCATCAAAGTAAGGGGTTGGGGAAGGTAAGAAATATAAGCACAACCGTGAAAGTGACCATCTTGACCACCACACATATCACACACATTCCACACATAAGATTGAGTTGGTGCACAAAACTCGCTCTCAGGAATATTTTGATAATTTTGCCCTGGGTGGTTTCCTTCACAATATGCATAAGGAGGATCAAAAGTAGAATTACCAATAACAAAATTCTCATAATTCCATGATGTCATGTTTCTCAAATAAACAAATAAAACTAAAATAAAAATCAAATAATAAAATAAAAGTTCAAACTTGAAACCTAGCAATATGTACACCTACAACTACACCGTTAGTTCCCCGGCAACGGCGCCAAAATTTGATCACGCCCAACTATTCCTTATAAAAAGGACTAAGCGGTCGCTGCAAATATAATCCGGTTTACAAGTCCAGAGTCGAATCCCACAGAGAATTAAGATTTAGCTACAGTTGTTCACTATCACCAAGAAGACAAGCTTGAACAATTCCTAACTTATAGATATTAAGATTCTTGTGTTTAACTAATTAACTAACAAATTAAAATAGTAAATTAACAACTAGCGACACTGGGGTTAGAGAAAAGATTAAGGAGGTCTAGAGTTATGATTTCCCCTATTGTCGAAATCCTTCCCGCTATGTCTTCTATAATTTCGCCTAAGTATTCTCTACCGATCATGAGCACTCTTATTACCGTAAATCTCTCCCGAGTAATTACGACAATTTACTAGACGCACTCTCCCGAGCTACGCTAGCTGGCTTTTAATACAGCTCACTTCAGATCGCACCCAAGGCTTTGTTATCCCTAATCCCGCATTTAAACCCTCGGTTATTGATCCCTCATATACTCTGAAGTGGTGTTGTTCAACAATTACCTAAATATGCACTCTCTCCTGAGTTATGCATACTAAATAGGCACAGCTAATTGAGATCTCTTCAATCAACCAGAATATAAACGTAGTTGAACAAATAGAGAAAAGCTATGGCTCAATTATATAAAAACATAACAAGAATTTATCCTATAAAAGGTTGTATCAAAACTCTAGATAACAAATTAGCTATTCATAATAGTATGTAAAACTACAATACTAAAAGTCATAACCAACAATGAAAAATAGGAAGAGGAAGGAAAAACTCGTAGAAGAATTCTCCGCCTTGCTCCCAATGTGTTCTTGCCTCCTTAGGTCGAATCTATGTCCAAAATATGTCCCCCTCCCTTCAAAATAGGTTTAGGACCCCTTTTATACAAGTTGGAATAGTGTAGGACCGAAATAACCTTGTCCCGGACGAAATAGGACTTCTTTTTGACGCCTGGAGCGGCGCGGTCGCGGCCAAAACGCGGTAGGACCGCGACCAGACAAGCTCTCTAATTTCTGCAGCCGTCGCGGTTTCGACCGCATTTTTCACCCTGTTCCGTTTGGAATTTGAAAAAACATAAAACATGAAAATTGTATCCCTTCGAATTAAATTTCCAACCATATATTGTGGAGCCCAAATGTAGTTCTGAGCAAAAAGTTATGTCTATTTTACTAGACAGTGCGCAATATGCCTCCTCAAGTCTTCGTTCGTACTTAATTATCAAATTTGACCCCCGAACACGATCCCGACTTAATTCCTTGAGCTTTTACTCAAACTTCAAAGCTTCAAATCACTTAAATTCATTCCATAACATCTATATAGCTCGGAATCACACCTATAAGGCATAAAACAACAATTAGTGCAAAACACTAGCGATTAAAGCGCAAACTCAATTAAAGTGCAGTAAATTCGAGTATAATAAGCGACTAAAATATGCAATTATAGCCTATCATCAGTAATCTTGAAGTTTCTTATAAAGACCCATAATATAATGCAATATGAGAAGGCTAAAAAGCATTGTGTGCTGATTCTGTTCATTCAGGTATTTCGCCCAATGTTATCATTCATGTGTACAGTGCTGCATACTATTTCTCCTTTGATATCCAACATGTGGTTTATGGTAATATGACCTCATGGTGTAATTTAACTGATGTGTGTCATGAAGGGTTGGCTATATTGTTTTCTTGGGAATGTACTCCCTAGCACTGTGTTGAAGATGCTAAATTTCAATTAACTGGATTTTTGAAATTAAGGGCAAGCTTACAATAGCGATTTTGATAAATAGATAATGTTGTATTTGTCTACTGAGTTAACCAATAATGTCCTCTTTGGAAAGAGATAAATTAGGAAAAGATAAATATGTTAAAATATTTTACATCTTGACACGTTCTTTTATAGCTACTCTAACATCTTGCTTATGTTTTTCACTCAACCATATTATTCTTCATTGTTATTGAATTAGGAGACCAGTAATCTTAGAAACATAAGATTATCAACACTTAAAGAAAAGATAATCAATTCACGAACAACTGCTGTTGCAAGGAGGTGAATTTAAGTGAATGAATGTCATTGTTTTACTTTTGTAGTATGTTTAATGGTTTAATCTTTTCCCGGATATATTACCTTAATCATTTGGCATCATAATTGTCTGAGAATACTTTGCTACCAACAAATTTAGCATTTAAAAAGATAATTCAGTTGAGTGCACTGTGTTGATTTTGACACCACTGAAAGGTCTTCTATTACTGTTTTGGGCTGCCGTTGCAGCCACCTTTTACTACTATTTTTGAATATGGTTGGTTCAACTGGTTATAGATCAAAATCTATTACCGCCTCGAAAATGTATTCATCTTTATTTCTATCGGTGTATAGATTGTGTTGTCTGGCACTGATTACAAGCAATCTTACTAAAGATACTAAGTATTAAAATTATAAATAATAGTCCCTTGAAATAACTGTTCCAAATAGAAATTCAAAAGGGTATGATATGTAGTTATTTTGTGCACTCCTCCAATTTTTTCTTTGCTATATCTCTGTAAAATCACAGCTAATCAATTAGCCTGCCTGTGAAGAGCTGTTAAACTTGCACGAAAAAACTCTTTCTGGTTTTCTTTCTTTGTTTGTTTTTTCTTCATACCCATGTCAAATATTTACGATTGTGAGTATTTGTTAGCTCTAAGAATGAGAGCTTAGGACATTACAAAAAGTTAATTCTTTTTTATCTTTATTATTTTCTCCAGGAAAGCTTTTTAATTCCTTACAAGGTCTTATGTTTCTGGAGGCCTTTTGAGACTGAGGGCTTGTGGCTTGATTAGACCAATTAATGGTTTGTTAAATCAATCTCCCTGCTATTTACTCTGTTTAGCTCTTCTCCTGTGCAGCCACCCCCCCTCCCCCACAAAAAAAAAGCTTCGTGACTGCTTACAGAGTTAGTTTATTCTTGCTGACTACGGGAAAGTAATTTAATTTTAAATTTATTACTGAATGCATTTGTGGTTATTAGATATTTTCGGATAGTTCTCATTATACATCATGTGAGCTATTAAAAATTTTATGACATAGACTTTCTTATATCAATTTTCTAACTTGCTGAATCTCAGAATGCTTACTCTTAATACGATGATAATTGCTTAAAGTATTACATACCTAGAAAAGATTGTGATAGCACACATTGCATTTCTTTTCCAAGTTGAATATGTTGAGATTCATGAAATCGCTTTATTTTTATGCATTTGAATGTCTCCTATTTTCTACAACCTTGACAACTTCACTAAGGCAGATGATATTCTCGTGCTTCTTTGTTTACAGGTCTTATTTTTGTCAATACATGCTCAGAAGAAGCCAAGAAGACTAAACACAATAGTTTCATGCAGCATCGTTACGTAATATGTAGATAGTTAGCTAATATATAAATAGCTATGCTGTATATGATGTTGTCCGAACCATTTACTGTCATGGATATAAAAGTGTATATTTTGATCTAAATATATGTCCATAATAGCCAGCAGTTAAGCACATAGAGTTGCCTACCTGATGTGCAACTTTTATTATATGCAATTCCAAATCAATACACATATGATGTTGTATAGCTGATTCAATCCTAATAGTTTCAACTTTCACAATATTGGGCATGTGGTGGCACAGTCCATCCCTAACTAGTATATTTATATTAGTATATTAGAAGCGCTTGAGTTTCGACGTGTCTGTTTAGTGTCTATTTCAAAAGTTTGAGGGCAATTTAGTCATTTAACATTACTTTTGTTGTATCATATATATACGTGGCTTTGTTTGCCTACCCATAAGTGTCTACCTGTAATTGTTATATGACTCCAGGTGTGCATCTCTTTTCTTTAACATCTTAATTCACTTTTCTCTCTTTCTACTCAATATCCCAATCTGGATTTTTTCTAGGCATGCACGAAGAAAAAGCAGTACAGCAACAATTCACCACAATCAAAGCGTAGCACCGAGAAAGGGCAAAAACCAGGTGATGATCCCTTTTTGAGTTGAAATTTGAGTTTGGTCTTAAGTCTTTATGCTCGATTATTGCCCTATTCCAGCTTTTCCTTAAGTTTCTTCTTCACTCTGGCCATTAGCTTGTACTTGATTTCTACATTTTTTCATTTGCTCTTTGGTTTTGTGGTTTATCATTTATGTGAATTCTGCGGAGTTTTTTGGTGATGGGATTTTGATGATATGTGTTGGTTTTTGCAGTTTCCTTCTTTGTGTTTTTGCTCTGTTCTATTTCCTTTATATGGCGATGAGATTTTGATAGATATCTTTTGTTTTTCTTCTTATTTTGGACTATTTTGATAGTTGTGTGAAATTGATGAAGGGTTGTTGTGATTACTTTGCCCTAATTGTTTTGGGATGGCTAATTCATATCGCACTTTCATATATTTCCCTGAAATTGCATGCCATATGTTCGACCAATTGGCTGAATGACATTGGAGCCTTAGAACTAACAATTAAATACGCTCAAAACTGTTTTCAGTCGATATGTTTTGCAATACTTGTTTTAAAATATGCGCTGGTGCACATAGGAAGCGGTGATGTATTTGTACGATGACAGCAACAGCCTCTTTCTTTCTTCACCTTCAACTAATGCTTCTTCAGTTTTTTACATACTTACCAATACACTTTTGCACTGAAAAGAGTACGCCTCTCTTCCATTTGCTTCTAAAGGATGCTGATTCCACGTGTCTTTCAATTCAACAGAGACAACATATTACCTTTTCCTAATATTGCAACTTAGTTGTTTTCTCTGGTTCATCGCTTTCTTCTTATCTATCTTGGGTCCATTTCTATTATTTTTGCTCTCTATGCTTTTGTTGGAATTTTTTGGGTATCTGGTTTGCTTCTATCGGCATATTCTGTATGTGTTCGTCGACTTCTTTTTCCTGGGTTTTGTGAGTTTGCTTCTGCGATTTCCTTTGGTGTATCTGCTATCTCAGTTTTGGTGCGTATTCCATTTTTTTTCGAATATTCATGTGTTATCACATTATTTTGTGATTGTAACACTTTATCAGATCTAGCCTGATACGCAGATCACTTTATTTGTTTTTCTATTTCTGAATTATTTTATATGTGAAAATATTATTTTTGAATGTCTGATTTTGACTCCGTAACTATCTGCTTTAAGGTTTCAAGAGATTTCAAAAATCATATTTCAGGTGGTGGGACCAACTGTTTCAACGAGGAAGTACCAGGTGAATGGGAAAAATGTTTTCAATTATGTTCTGTCAATATGTAAGTTCATACATGGCAGAGTATGATAAATTAATACCTCCTAATGTGTTTTAACATCTTTTCCCCAGGGGGCAAATTCTTAGAGGCAGACTAAGGTTCTAAAGTGGATTGAAGCTCACATTAGAGTTGTCCACATAAGCTATCAAAACTTTATGAAATCAGAATTGTGTTACAGAAAGAATTATGCTTTGAACTCTTTCTTCCTTTTGCAGGAATATTATGGCTAAAGATGGACCAAGATGTATAAAGACAAGTAAGTTTGCCCATTTGTCATTGCATGTTTGACTGTTGTTATATGTAAATTTTCACATTCAGATTCGGGGTTTGGATATAATACTTTATCTATGAACTCCTTGCATTTGGAATTTATATATGAGGATGGAACATATTCTTGGATATTATAAAATTAGCAAAATCTAGCTATTGATATATTTTAATTTTCCTTTTCCTCTAACAGAGATGCATAATATCCCGTTCCCTTTCCTCTCCTTTAGGAGAGTAACTTGATAAAGTATAACAATCTTTGCTAAAACTATCAATGTAGATATGTCCAGAACTTGAAGCAAACTACTTAAATAAAGTTTATCTGCGGAACACTCTCCTCCTATGCATTCACTAGAGCATAAGCAACTAAACTTCAAGCTTTTTCTGTTCTGCTTATAATAATAGGGAGGCGAAATAAGTGGATAATCTAATCATATTGGTGAGTTAGTATACAATTAGCTCTAGGTTCTGTTGACTCAAGTCTCAAGTTATGTGGACACATGCTTATGATGTGTCGTAACCAAGTTAAAAGAAGAATTTTACAATTGAAAGATCTCATAACGGTATAATAAAATAAATGAACAAGACTGGATGGTACAGGAAATGTAGTTTTCTTTTCTGATGACCTAGATATTGGCGAACCCTTGGGACCAACTGCAACCTTCTATAATCGTGAAATTTAAATATCATGCTTAGTTCGCATGGCACAGGGCTCGAACTTGTGGGATAAGCTACAATTCCTCAATCTTTGCCACTTGAACTACACTCTCGGGCTGATATACCTGACGTATTGCCAATGTGCATCTTCACTTGCTCAACATTAGGTTCATACGACATAGAATGACCGTAGGAACTAGGAAGTGACCACAACAACTCAAGTTTATGTTTATCTAATGAAATATGACAACATAATGATTTTGAAAGAGAGATTTTGAGTGTTGGTGTTAATATATGACTCCATGGCTATTATATATTGATATTTTGCTTATCCTTTTTAAATTCAATAGCAAATTAAAAGTTTCGCACCAACACACATCATCAGTTATAAATAATAACAAAAATTCAATACAAAAATATAGAAAAAGTAGACTAACACGCAAAATGACCACCAAGTCAATTCTTTTAGTTACCAATGTTGTCAAATTTTGAATGGAGTGAGTTTTTTGGTCTGAACTTAAGTCTTAAGGTTTTGCTACATTGCTTAACTTACTATATTATTTTAGAGTTGCTTTTTGTATTTCTTGTCAAGAAAAGTTGAAGCTTTTGTTCATTATTTCAATTAGTAGATACTAAATGGAGCTATTTTCATATCTAAACATCCTTACCAAAAGTATGTTTAGTCTTTATATAATGGATATGAAAGTTTAATACGAGTAGCTATATCTCTAAAGCAAGGACATGCCTTTTCGGTATAAGTGGTTGTTGTAAGATAATTAGAAGCATAACATCTATCTGCTTTGAGGAGGTGGTCCACGCGTGAAGGTGGGACGGTTTGATGAATTAATGGTCACTGGAATGAGTGTTGCTAGGATCTCTGTTGATGCAGCCCCGGTGCATGCTTTAGTAGGAAATGCATTTACTTAACTGGTTCAAGATGCTGCATCTGCGCATAGGTTTACTTATTGCTTTTGAAGTGAGTTAGAAGCTGGCACTTATTATGCTTGCTAATACCAGTAGTTGAATAAATGGGTATGATCAAATCAAATTCATGAAAGAGTTCAATCAAATGCACGAGTTTGTTTGAGTTGCTGGTAAAATTAAAACATATGGATAATCAAGTCTGTGAGTTGCTCTCGAACACCAGTTGAATAAATAGACTAGCCAAGATAGAAAGCTTGCTAATAGTATCTCAGATGGTTAAATCATTATTACTTTGATGTTAATGTTACTGACTAATCTTATTTTTCACAGATTATGTTTGAGGAAGCAAGTTAAGTTTTGAATGATGTTGTTGGGAGCATAAGAATTGTTGCGTCATTTTGTGCGAAAGAGAAGGTCATGGAAATGTGTAGATAACAGAGCCAAGAGCCAAGGCCTACTGAATGCAAGAAAAAGTAAGATTTCTTAATTGCAAGTAAGGTGTGATCTGTCAATTGCTTCTGTTCTATCTTATGCAGACTTGCAAAATAACTTTTTTGGGCGTTTTCGTGCATCTCTGATGCCGCTTGTTTTATTATTATTTTTTCCTAAAATTTTAGTTGAAGCTTGTTAAGAGGGCTAATTTGTAGTATTTTGCAGCTTGACAAGTTTTTTTCCCTCTGATGATGGCAACTATATTTATGTCCCAGTCAAGCTCATTGGCACCAAGTATAGCCAAGGGTGGCTGTGCTTCAATATGTGCTATTCCGAACAAGAAATCGGAATATTCAAGTGATGATTCTGGTATTACACAGGACACTCTGAAAGGGAGATTTTGAGCTATAATATGCAGCCTTCAGGTATCCATGAAAGCTAGATATTTAAATTTGGGGGACCGTTGCTTGATCATTCGCTGTGGAAAGCTGAATAGACAATTTGATTCCATTTATTTGAAGTCTTCTTTCTCTTGGAAAAAAAAATGACAAAGATCTTTACTACTGGATAATTTATTGGTGAAGTATGAATGGGATGCAAATCTATGAATTTTGGAGTATTTAGAATTTAAGAGATCTTCGGATGCGGTTCTTAGTTCAGTTCGAGATATGAATTCGGTCTTACATTGTCAAATGTCAAGTATGATTTTGCAATGAAAATTTGCAATCAAAGTTGAATGCTACGTCATTTGAAATATCTTATCTTTCATTTTTTCTAAATATTTATGGGCAGGAAGCATCAAGGCAGCTCAAGTACAAGAATTGAAAGAGAATCTGGATAGCCATCATTTACTAGTGTTTTGTGGAGCTTAAGGAAAGAGAGAGATCTACACATGTCCGAAGCCACAGTTGATGTTATTAAATTAGACTATTCTATTTTAGTTCAAAATCATATGAACATCATTTATCTTTGACGATTTATATGATGTTGTATTGTGATTTTGTCTTCATCTAATTTGATGAAATTTTTATTCTCTGCGAATCCAAAACCAAAAGAAATTGATAATAATAGTTTTAACTTTCAAAATATTGGGCCCGTGCTGGCACGGGCTATCCTTACCTAGTCTATTATATAGAAGAGGAGTTTCGACGTGTGTTTCATGTCTTTTTTATAAAGCTCGAGGGTAATTTAGTCATTCGCATAAGCTCCTACAAATTTCCTGTACGTGGCTAGGTTTGTGTACGCAAAACTATACGTGTAATTTTTATATAATTCCACCTGTATTTTAAGAAGATTGTCACGTTAGGTTTTTCATTAATTTCTTTCAGATTACTTCTCAGTTTACAGTCTTCCATGTTCCTTTTCTCGCTCAAATTGCAGGTATGTTTCACTTTCAATCAATTTTTCCCATATTTTTTTCTCCTTTTTCCTATGTTCTTTTCACTCAGGGTTTTTCTCCATCTGCTATGAATTGTGTTGATTTTCTCTGCACTCTGTTGGTATGTTGGCAGATATGTGTTGGTTTCCTTCAAACAAGAATTTGATAAAGCACAAATAGTCTATGTATTGCTTCCTATTTTCTTGATTTCTCAGTTGCTTGTCCCTTATTAATTTTTTTGTTTCTATTATGTTGCGCCTTTTTCCAATTTTTGAGTTGCGCCTCCCTATTTCTGATGTTTTTGTTGTTTTGTTTATTTCATCAGAAATAGTTTTATTCTCATTCTTTCGCTCAAGTGCTTTGTTATTTTTTTTTTCAGTTTTCATCTGGTACTTAATTCTTCTTTTTTAGTTGCAGTTATCTGATAGTGTTGGTGATTTATTATCTTCCGGTCCTTCTTGACTATCCGAACCAAGTAAATGTTCAGAGTGATTCGGTGTAAGCAGGGTTGGAGTTTTCAGACCGCTGATTGGCAATTTTGAGGTACATCCCTTTTAATTATAGTAATGGATGGAAGTTTACATGGGCTAATACTGAGATGTGGTTTGTATGTGGTTTGGAGTTATCTTTTGTGGTCTTAAATTTTAGCTCCTCCATTTACTGAATTCTTCGTCTTCTTTTTTCTTCAATCTCGCTCCCAATATTGATTATCATCTCCATTCTCTTGCTTCATCTTGCCCAATTCTCTGTTTCTGTTGTCTTCCTTCTTCCATTATAATCTGGCCAACGTTTTGTGCAATTCCGAGCCCTTTCCATCACTCCATCAGCCCTGCTTTCCACCAAGAGATTGGAAGGTGCAACTTAAAGAGAGAAACTTGCTTTCTTCTTGTGTTGGTCTGGAATCTTTAATCTTGAATTCATAATTTTCCCTGGATAAAAAAATTTCCCCAATTTCATCCATCAAAATCCTAACTCGAAAATTTCCCAAATCTTCTTGAATATATACAAAATCAATATTTGATCCAGTTTAATTTGTTGATTTGTCTTTGCGTCAATGATTACTGTGAGCATATTCGTTAGATGTTACTTATTATTAAAAAGTCTGTGGTAATTGTTTTCTTAATTTCTTGAAGTGGTTGATGCATAGGGCACTATGGCTGTGTTGATAAAAAATGCACTTTATCTGAAAAGGATTACTGTTCACCTCTGTCTAATTTTCTTTCATGTGTTACAAGAGATGATCTATACAATGAGAATGACTAATGGATGCATACCTACGTACAATGCCGTGCCGTTTAAAGTAATGATAATAGACTGGATACATGTCAAATTTTAGATTGTGAATCTAACCATTATGGTCCCTATAGGCAGCATACTGGACTATTATGAAGCAAATAAGCTTGACCTTAATAAAGTGAATATTTTTACTTGCTAAGAGTAATAAGGGAATATACGACGGATTAGAAAATCACTAAAATTGACTTTAGTCACTAAGAAATCAACATGTTTAATCAATGTTTTGGATATCATTTTGATGATTGTATGTATTGATGAGTATTGAAGCTACAAGTCCTTGCTCAGATGATCATCTTTTGTTCTTGCTCAGTTGAACATCTTTTAGTTTGCATATAGTTGTTGCCTGTGACTTTTACTTTGATAGTTCTTAGTCCCTATCTAGCAGATACTCCGTACATCCCAAAAGAAAAAGAATTATTTTGATCTTTATGGTTGGAGGTGGTTGATGTGTGTTTTAGAGTGGAGGTGGATAGGAAAGCATTCTTTTAGTTTCTTTATTCTCATAACTGTAAATATAGGAATGCTTTGTACCATGGATTCTATTGAAAGGGTCCTCCAAATAACATAGTTAATTGTTTTCACAATTGTTTTAACTTGGAGGCTAGAAGAAAAATTATTTTTTGCTAATTTTCTTGACCATGTTAGCTGGACTATGCCGTAATGCATACAAAATTAGTTGTCAGCTTCACATTTAATAAGGATATTTCTTTCCTATAAGAATATTGAGTCTGGTCCAGTGAGACATCAAGTGCTTCTGTAAAGGATTGGAATACCATACATTTTAGAGTTTATCAATTTGCTCTTTAAGTTAAAGAATTAGTTTTTATATTTTGCTAATACAAGCACAAACCATATCCTGTTTGAATGTCTTCTTTATATATGGAAGTAAAACTGTGTGTAAGATCTATTCGAAATAGCCATCTTACATGTCACTTTTGTCAATGGGGAACTTTATACCTTGGATAGTATTCGTAAACTTTTTTTGTTTTGTAAAGGCTCATTTAAGTTTATTGACCATCCAACAGTGCATGAGTTCAGACTGTATATATCTATTATTGAGAGATCTTCCCTTCCACACCAGATTAAGAGGTGAAACATACCCAACATGGTGCTAATATGAATACAATGATCAGGATCTGTAAGGGCTTGTCTGTTCGCATATCTATTTTTTTTCCTTTTTCATGTTGTATTAAAGAGCCTCTAACAATATCTTTATTGTATTTGATCGTGCAGGTATGTCTTAGTTTAGAAGCTACCTCACTCATAAAGTAATATGAGAGTAATATGATGGTTAATATAAGATAGTAGCACAACAGTTGAAACTTGCTGATAGGTTTGTTTCTTTTGAAGTAATATGTATCCGGTCTATTTGGAATATTGCATTTATGAGGATGAATCTCGCTATATATACATTCTCTATGCTTCAGGTCATATCTGTGCTCTTGGTGTTCTGTTAGGTTCTTTTACTTCTGAAATGATGACAATTTCCAGCACGGACCATAACCATCTATATATTAGAAGAGCCAGAGTTTCGACCTGGCTACTTCATGGCAACAAAAGTAAAGTTAAGGATATTTTAGTCATTTTAGTGTAAACTCTATGTGGCTTTTTTTACTGAACCCACATCATACACTTATCCTTATTTCGCTATTCTTCTTCATAGATAGCTTTCTTCTCTCTCGATCTTCCTCGGTGATGCCTCTGATTTTCAATGAATTTTACTGATAATACAGAACTAGGTATCTTTTTTTTGTGCTCAATTCAGGTTTTATTTTATTTTAATTTCAATTCAGTTAGATTTTTTAGGTTTTTCTGCTGTTGTATATAACTAAATTGCTATTTGTTCAATTTCAGAGTTAATTATGGAAAGAGCATTATGTAGCGAATAAGGTGAAGAAGGGGTCGAGATTGGTACGCTCAATGGACATGTCTCTCTTGATAATTTGAAGTAAGCTTTTTCTTTTGCACCATTCGTCTTTGATGACATGCAAAGCCTTTTTGCTACTCGAGTCACTAAGGTTTAGGAATTTATCCTATTGTTGAATTTGAGGGGTTCTGCTTCTTTGTTTTTGCAGGACTTTGTTATTGTAGAATAAAGGTATGTATATGTACTGCTAATAGATTTTCAGTGTTGTATATTTCCATATAGTTGGTATTTGTGTTGAAGCTAACGACCACTTTCGTTTCTCTATTTTCATGACTCGAATCTGATTTCTTAAATAAAAAATTCTTTGTCGCCAAGGTGTATGACAAAATTCTTCAATGAATTGGACTGTGTCTTTGGTTTCTTATGCATCCTCCGAAGGTAACAGAGAAAATAGAAAATTATGAATGCATGTACTATCATATTCTCAACAGGGGAGAGCCGAATGTTTGACACGGTTAGCATCTGTAATTCTTTACACCTTTTTCCTTTCTCCTTTTTCACCACACAGCATGAGATTAAAATTATAGAGAAAAACTTTGACGAGTTTCTGTTGTAACTGTGGATTTTCTGTATTTCATATTTTTTTTACGAATGAAATAAACTGATATTACCCAAATCTGTTGTGGGACTTGAAAATTTAAATGCGGTATAGAGAATTTCAGATTCTTGGAAGTATATTCTTGGTTCTCTTTCTTCTCATAGAAGCTCCTTATCGCTAGCTATATGTAATTGTGTCTCATTTGCTAAATTTTCATGAATTTCCAACACAATCACTCGGGAAAGTAATAGGCTCAAGTTTGCTTATAGGTATCTGTATTTGTATGGTCCCTTTGGATGGAACATTACCAAAAAATTACAAGTTAGTTGACTGATGTATGGAGCTTCTGTAAGGTGATTTCTTTGAAAAGATTCAAAGTATGGATTGCTTTATTTAGATGGAATTTGTATTAATATTTCACTACATGAGACAGTAACATTTAAACCTTAAGAATTTTGCTCCAATTTCTGCAATTTGTGATTGTAACTACTTGGACTTGTCTCATTTTTGTTCAAAAAAAGGGACAATTCACTGCATTCAAGTTATTTTTGCTTCTTGTATACAAGAAGTGATTAATTTGTGTTATTTTCTACTTTGATTAATAAATTTGGTACATTTGTCTGATCTTTTCATTCAAAGTTCAGTCCCTTTTGAAGAAGAGATACGGGATAGAGACCTAAGACTCCAATGAAGACTTCAACATCTTTCAGGATGAAAACATTCTTCTATAGTCGTGAACTTATAGGAAAACCTTGCCTTCTTCTTTAGGAAATAGTGGTAACAGGTTATGGTGGTTGGGGATATTTTGGTAGCATTTTCAGCATCAATGACGTCTTTGAACATTTGCAGCAAGGTAATATTTGGACTTTTCAGTTCAAGAATTAAATGTCTTTGTTGAATTTCGAATCTTTTACTTTTTCAAGAAAACATGTTTATGTTTTAAGATGATTGTTTGATTGAAGGATTCTATTGCATATAGCATAATTCTTTCATGGTTTTTGTTCTGTTTATGGATTATAAATCTTGTTAATGGAAGTTGTTTGGATTGAGTAATTCCTCTACATTGCAGAGATGATCTTCTTACTTTTTGGAGACACTAAATTCTGATAGAATTTCCTCTTGCTCTTCAGGTGATTTTCACTATATATTTTCTTTTTGTACAACTGTCTACTGTTTGGAAGAAAATAAAATTATATTTTGAGGTTTTCACACCATGCTAAAGTTTTATTTGACATATTTCTTCGATGATTTAATATTAGCTCACTCATGTTGTATAGACGAAATCTTTTCTGCCAAAGTTGGACCCAAAAACTTGAGATTGAGGGGAAGTCTCTACGAAGTGGAATGTAATGACAATGGAGATAGTTTGGGCAGGGGTAATTCTTTAATATATAATGACTATTGGCATGGTAGTTCCTTTACATGTAAAACTATATAGATACTATCATCTTTACACTTAAGCATCTAATTATCATATTGCGCAATGGATGTAAAGAATGTATTATTCGCCATAATGCAACATCATGATGATTATTTTGCTCCAAAATGTATGTAAATCGAGCAATTAACATGTCATATTGTGCGATATTGTCTATCTAAATTGATTCCAACTTATATGGATCAATTTTATGCTTTGCACTTTAGTATCAACGCAAAATTAACAAAAAAAAATAATAATTGCTTCAACTTTTACAATATTGGGCCCGTGCTGGCACGGGCTACCACTACCTAGTTTAACAATCAAAGATAACAACGAGAAAACTAATCACAATCACTCACTTGCCTATTTTTTTTTGATGGCTTTGGTTCTCCTAATGAAATACAAAAGCATGTGACCCAAGTTCAAACTCCTAGAATATTTATCATGCAGATCATGCTAGATGAATAATTAATACTAGTTGAAAGTTCAATGGGAAGTGCTTATCTCCGGCCCCTCCTTCCTTCCGCTATGATGATGGCCCATCTAGGCCGATGACAGGGACTCACCAGAACGAGAGAGGTATGCCTCCCTTGTTGTCTGCTTACAATTTTTGTCTGCTTACAATTTTTGTGCATCACCTATAGAAATAGTCTATGCCCTGGAGAAACTTGGAACCAAGGTGAAGTGGCTGCCAAAGATGAGGTCCGACCCGAGCACCAGAAAATCTGACGCCCTCTGCATATTCCACCAGAAACGCGGACACAAGACAGAAGATTGCATTGCCCTAAGGCAGGAGGTTATGAACATGTTGCAGCAAGGACATCTCAAAGAGTTGCTGAGTGACAAGGGGGGAACAACTTCGCCAGAGGTCGTGAACGCCAAGGCTCGCCGAAGCCGCCTCCACCGGCTCGTACCATCAACATGATTATTGGCGGCAGCGATGATGCCTCCATCAACGACGTTAAGTTCACTGCTACTCACAAGCTCAAAAGATCTATCACCCACGAACGGTATGACGGGCTCGAAAAAAGTATCATCTTCGACGAGTAAGATGCTAACAGTTTGACTTTCCCTCACAACGATGCCCTCGTCATTACTTTACAAATTTTAGATACTGATGTCAAACGTATCATGGTAGACGATGGGAGTGGAGCGTGCATCATCCATCCTGAGTTCTCTCCCAGATGAGACTCGAGGACAAAATAGTGCCACGCTACAACACACTAATCGGTTTCAATAATGCAGTTGAATAGACTTTACACTAACCAGTTTCAATAATGCAGTTGAGTAGACATCGGGTGAAAGTACACTCCCTGTCTTGGCCAGCGGCATAACTCTGGAGACAACGTTCCACATCATGGACCAAGCCACCGCATACAACGCCGTAGTAGGACGACCATGTATACATCCCATGAGAGCGTTCCCCTCCAGCCTATACCAAGTGATCAAGTTCACAACACGTTGGGAAATATTCAGCATACGGGGAGAACAACGCATGTCCCGGGAATGCTACCGCATCGCTCTGGATAGCATGACAACCCAGCAGAAGAAAGATAAGGAAAAAGAGGTATAACAATCAACAGGGTTGAGGTCGACACAAGAAGAGACCAGGGATGTCATCATGGACCCCGAAACGGCCGAAACCGCGGACTCAACTATAGAGGACCTCGACACCGTTCAATTAGACCCCAGCGACCCCAGCAAAAAGGCCCATATCGGCTGCAAACTCTGAAAACTAGGTAAATTTGACCAATTTTTAATAACTAACGCCGATTTATTTGCCTTCAGCAGTGCGGATATGTCGGGAATCCCCAAGGTTATCGCCACACATAAATTGAACGTCGACCTATTCTATCCCCCGATAAGGCATGTCAGACGAAAGTTCAATCCTGCCATCAATGATACCGTCCATAAGGAGATAGAAATGCTATTAGAAAATGGCTTCATCAGGGAGTCGAAGTACCCCAAGTGGATCGCCAACGTAGTAATGGTCAAAAAGAAAAATGGGATGGAGGATGTGTGTATACTTCACAGACTTGAACAAAGCATGCCCAAAGGATTCAAACCCGTTACCACATATCGACCAACTCATTGCCGCGACAGTCGGGCACGAGCTGCTGTATTTCCTGGACGCGTATCCGGGCTATAGCCTGATACTTACGAAAGAAGAGGACCAGGAGAAAATCATATTCATCACCCACCGAGGAACATACTGTTATAGGGTCATGCCATTCGGGGTGAAGAACGCAGGAGCCACCTATCAAAGATTGGTCATAAGAATGTTCAAAGACCAGCTTGGAAAGACCACGGAGGTATATATCGACGACATGCCGATCAAATCCGTAAGGGCGGAAGACAATATCAACCATTTGAAGTAAGCATTCGAAATACTGAGATGATACAAAATGAAACTAAACCCAGAGAAATACACGTTTGGCATAGCCTCAGGGAAGGTTTTGGGTTTCTTTCTTTCCTTTAGTGTGTAACCGATTTATATATGTTAAGCTCCCCTTTTTTTCTCTCCTTTGCTTTTCTTTTGCCCCTCTTTAAAGTAAAGCTGCTTCTTAGAGTTGGCTTTTGCAATTGCAATCTGTCTCTGTCTGGCTCCTCGCTTTGAACTCAAATAAGATGTGTCAAAATGAGGGATTGAAGTCAACCCGGACCAAATCAAATCTATCGAAGGGATACCATAGCAACTGACTACTAACAAGCAAGTCCAAATATTGACTGGTCGAATCGCTGCCCTATCGAGTTTTGTCTCACGGCCATCCGATAGGTGTAACGAATTTTTCGGCGGGCTAAAAAAGGATAACGGCCTCGAGTAGACGCCCGATTGCGTACAAGCTCTGCTAGAACTAAAGGCGTATCTGTCGTCACCACCTCTGCTCTCGAAGCTCGAACCCGGGGAAGACCTCCTCATCTACCTCGCCATCTCTGAAGTGGCAGTAAGTGCAGTCCTAATTCGAGAAAGTAAAGGTACGAAATATCCTATTTATTACTGTAGCAAAACACTCGTCGAAGCTGAGACGAGGTACTCACACCTCGAGAAACTAACCCTGACACTGGTCGTAGCTTCACGAAAGATTAGACTCTATTTCCAGTGCAAGCCTATCTCGGTTGTTACCACCTTTCCTCTAAGAAGCATTTTACATCAACCCGATTTGTCGGGGAGGCTGGTCAAGTGGGCCATCGAGCTAAGAGAGCGTGACATCATATATCAGCCGCTAAAGTTGCAAGTGCTCGCCGACTTTGTCATAGACTTCAGCGCAAAGATAATGCCTGAGGTCGAGAAGGAAGCCGTCCAAGCTTCTCTCCAAACACAAGACCTCTGGGTCCTATACACCGACGACCCATTCAATGCTTCCGGATCCGGACTGGGACTCGTATATTACTAATAAAGAGATAAAAATAATGTAAACTAAAAACTACTAAAGAAAATAAATAAATAAGTAAAAATAAATAGAATAACAAAACTGACTGATCCACAAATATATCACCAATCACAAACTACGCCCGGCAAGAGCACATGATAAACAGTAGTAAAACAAGCCCGGCAGGGGGCAGGGGCACACAATATCCATACAAAAGCATAAGCTCGGGAAGGGCACAAGTCAAGCATCAATGTATAAATAAAGTATACTCCCTAAAGCCACCCCAACTAAAAACACTACAATGTCCTCACTGCACAATATCAGAATATAATAAGAGTAGTTTGAGGGTCTCCTTGAGGTCTGTATTAGACTAGCAAACTGCGGGAAAAGGCTCATCACTGCCGTGTAGAGCTCTCGGCCTCATCATCATTAGTATCAGCATCAACAGCATCGACAAGAAGGAATACTTTTCACTATCATCTTTGTCCTCGACCGGTATCTTCCTGTTTGGCTGCCCCTATTTGAAAATGGCCTTGATGCCTCTCCACATCTTTACCATGAACTTGCCCCGCTTCTTATTTCTCTCTTTCTCCTTTTGGAAGTCCGCCTGAAGATTTACATGTGCCTTGGCCATATTGCCATAGCCGCCTCGAGCCGTCTAACAGAAGCTGCCAACTTCTCATGAGACTCTACCTGCTTTTTCTGGGCCTCCAGGTAGGTCTTCATTTCTTCCCTGGTGAAATACTCGGGCATAGGCTGGAGTGTGAGGGCCCACTAGGGAGATGTGACTCTAAGTCAAGTTGGGAATTTAGCATTCCAAATGGTCCCTTGGCTTGAGTAGCTTGTGAGGAGGACCCCTCACCTACAGAAATCTTGTCACGACCCAAGTTTCCCTCCGTAGGATGTCGTGACGACACCTAGTCTCTAAGACTAGGTAAGCCTAACAATTATGCGGAAAGAACTAAAATAACGTCTAAAATCTCAACATCAACAGATATATATAACTAAAAACTGCCGCTCGGCATGTGCAAGTAAATCTGCAACTCAGAGTAAAAACAACTCCCAAAACCCGGTAGTTATAAGCCACAAGCTATAAAGGAAATACTAAATATCTCTATACATTAGAGTCTACTGAGAATAAGGAAAATAACATAATAAGGATATAGAGGGACTCCGAGGTCTGCGGATGCTGGCAGATATACCTTGAAGTCTCCAAGCAGCAGCACAATGCTCTACTATCGAGGCTGATAAGATGTACCTGGGTCTGCACAAAAATATGTGCAGAAACGTAGTATGAGTACACCACAACGGTACCTAGCAAGTGCCAAGCCTAACCTCGGTAGAGTACTGATGAGGTCAGGTTAGGGCCTTACTGAAATATAAGAAATAAGGTAGAAGGTGAAATGATAAAAATAAATGGCAGGTTAATGAAACAATGAGAATGTACAGAAAAGCAAAAGCACGGGAAGACAAGAAGACATTTACAACACGTAAGAAAACGAACATCTTACAAGTTAAGGAAAACAACAACAACAAATAATACAGCAAATAGAGGAAAACAGTAATCGCACGGCAAAAACCTTGTACCACAACAAAAGTCCGCATGGCAGAAACCTCGTACCACAATAACACTCCGCACGGAAGAAACCTTGTGCCAATAACACTCAGCATGAAAAAAACCTCGTGCCAATAACACTGCGCATGGAAGAAACCTGTAATGATCCGGCCGGTCGTTTTAAGAGTATTAGCCACGAT